CTCCTCCTCCTCCTCCTCCTCCTCCTCGTCCCCCCCACAAAACAGCATCCGAAAACAGAGAAAACGGCTCCTGTGGAGCCGGGACCGGAACGGGAACCCATCGACGGCGACGGAGCCGGAAGGAGGTGGCGCAGGCAAAAAAGAGCTATTCGGAGCCGGTAAAAAACTCGGCCCTGCCATCTCCAGGGCCTGCTTGAGGTCCTCCCATGGCACTGGCAGGCCCTGTTGATTCCGGGCATGCCTCCCAGTGAGAAGAGTCGGGCGTTCCCTTGGGCGCGAATTTCAGGGGGGCGATAAGGGTGGGGGGGGGGGAGAAGGGTGCCTTGTTCGGGCCCTGCAGGCCCCCTTTGGGGCCCTGAAGGGCTCCTTGCGGAGCCCTGTACGAGGCTCCTCGATGGGGCCCTAAAGGCGGGCTCTTTTCTGCAGCCCTCGCTGCCCCCCCAGTTATCGCCCCCCTTAGTATGCGCCCCCCAACTCCCGGGGGGCTCGCTCCCCGGAGCGGTGCGGTGCGCCTCCCCCCCTGCTCCCTTTTGTGCCCGCCTTGCCAGGGCACCGCCGTCCCCGACGGCTACGCGCAGCGACTCGAGGAGGACGCCGCCCCCTATCGTTGGAGCAGAGAGAACTTGTGCGGAGGAGCGGGAGAAGGGGGGAGGGAGGAGGGAGGAGGGAGGGAGACGGGAAGCGGGAGGAGGAGGAGGAGGAGGAGGAGGAGGAGGAGGAGGAGGAGGTGGGGAAAGGGAGAAGGGAGAAGGGAGAAGGTGAGAAGGAAAGGAGGAGAGGAGGAGAGAGGAGGAGAGGAGGAGAAGGAGGAAAGAGGAGAGGAGGAGGAGGAGAAAGGAGAGAGGAGTGGAAGTAGAAGATGATGATATGAGGAGGAGGAGGAGGAGGAGGAGGAGGAGGAGGAGGAGGAGGAGGAGGAGGAGGAGGAAAATAATAATAACTATACAAGAGGAGGCGGAGGAGGAGGACGAGGGGCGAGGAGCGAGGAGCGAGGGGCGAGGGACTTGGACGGGGGGGTGAGGAGTGAGGAGGGAGGTGTGGGATCGGGAGGAGGGTAGAGGGGCCGTTCAAGGGTGGAATGGCCCAGTGCTGTTCTCGATGTGCATGTCTTAGTTTTGGCAAAGACAAGAACATCAAGAGAGACAAGTATGTTAGCCAGCGTGGGCCCCAGTTAGTGAGTTCTTGCATCATGGAGGCGAAAACTATTATATAGGCTTACGCCACATCCGCCGACCCCTCATCTTGGCGGTCTTGCCGGCTCGCTTGAAGCGGGCTGGGGAGTCGTGTAGGGGTCCATAATGACCTCTCTTGGGGCCATGTGGAATCCGCTTGGGGTCATCTCGAGGCCCTGGGGGGCCCATCGGAAAAGAAAGGAAGCACATGCAATCTTGGCATTGTTCTGGAGATGCCCAAAGGGTGGAAGCGTTGGAATGGGGCCCGTATATTTCTTGCTGGGTTTGACTTCTTTGGTGAGGCGGGGTTGTTTTTTGGGGCATCCCTGAGCCCGCACGGGGAACCTCGGGGCTGTGGAGGGGACGGGTCTCACACGCTTGGGAACCGAGAAGGTGTTCGCGGTTTGTTTCGCATTGCTAGGTCCAGGCACGTTACGAGTCCGAGGCCATCGCCACCATCATCATCATTACCGTCACCATCATCATCATCATCATCATCACCATCATCATCATCATCATCATCACCACCATCATCATGCTAAGCATCATCATCATCATCATCATCATCATCGGTATCATCCTCGTCATAATCATTGCCGTCGTTGTCGCCATCACTGTCTCAAGGGATTATATGTTTTACCTGACTGCGGGCCTCCGCGGTGGCATGTACATGCCACCATGGCAGCGCCATGGTGGCATGTACTGCGCGAAGTGCAGCGGTATCAAAGCCAAGCAGAACTCGCGGAAAGACAGCGCGAAGTGGAATCAGAGCGTCGGAACAGTGCGATGTACGAACGGTAAGTGCCTGTCGCTATATGACGAAAAGGCGGATATGTCGGAAGCTCAGAAGAAGCACGATGCTGCGGGGGAAAGGCTCTGTCGGAAATGCGCGGAATAACGAGAGAAAGAGGTGCGACGGGGGAATGCGGAGGCAGCGACTCGCAAGCGGAAAGCCGAGGCAGACGCGAAGCCACTGACGTGCGCGGCGTGCGGAGAAGCGTTCTCGGACACGAAATTTTTGAAGCATAAGCAAGTGGAAGATCATCGAGCGGCGAAAGGAGCGAAAGTGGTGCGCGGAGGCTGCAAGAACCTCGGGTTCACAGCCCGCAGCTGCCAGGCGTATCAGTGCGGCGGCGCGTGCAAGAGAAGACTACCGAAGTCGGCGTTCTCCGGGAACCCCATCCAACGTCGCTCGCGATGCAAAAAAAGGCACCCTGATGTGCAAGACCTGCAAATGATGCCCAATCGGGGGCGCGCGCGCGCGGGGGAGGACAGGGGGGAGGGGGAGAGAGGGATGGGGGGTGAGGCGGAGGATGGGGGGAGAAGAATCGGGGAGGAAGAGGATGAGGCGGGGGAGGAAGAGGAGGAGTGGGCGAGGAGGAGGTGGAAGAGGAGGAGGAGAGGGGGAGGAGGACGGGGACACAGAGACGAAACTCTGGGATATGTGTTATGGGTTAGAGGCTTTTCGTATGTGTATAGGCATCTCGCGGCACGCTTCTCGGGGACCTCTGGAAAGCAGTTTTGAACCCGCCTGGCGGCCGAGGTGGAGGAGGAGGAGGAGGAGGAGGAGAAGGAGGAAGGGGACACAGAAACAATGCTCTGGGTTATGGGTTTTGGGTCAGAGGCGTCTTGCACCAGCTTGGAACCAATTTGGAGGCAGGTGTTGCCGTCTTAGGGGTCGTCTTAGGCCGAATTGGGAGGCGTCCAGGGCCGTGCTAGGATTCTCTGGGGCCGTCTTGAGGCCCTCTTGGGGCGCCGTGGGGCGATCTTGGAGGCTCTTGGGGCTACGTGAGCCGACGGAAGCCGAGAAAGGCAACAAGTGCAAACATGTTCAACAACGCAATGGAAATGTAATGAAATGCGTAATGTGCGCCTCTTTCAGACGTCTCGGAGGTCTTCTTGGAGACTTCGTGGGCGATGGTGAAAGCCTTTTAGGCCATCTTGAGGCCATCTTGGGCCGTCTTCGAACTGTTTTGGGCCGTCTTGGAGCCATTTTGGGCCGTTTTGGAACCATCTTGGGGCCTTCTGGGGCCGTCTTGGGGCGGAAGGCTCGGATTGTCGGTTCGGGCTCCCCCTCTTGGGCACCTCTTGGGGCCGTCTTGGGGCCCTCTTGGGCTGTCTTGGGGGCCTCTTGGGCCGTCTTGGCGCCCTCTTGGGCCGACTTGGGCGCCTCTTGGGGGCCTCTCGGGGCGGTCTTGGGGTGCTCTCAGACCGTCGTCAACGCCGTGAAGGCCGACAAGTAGTATATGATCAAAATGTACGTTTTCCCATGGGAATTTGACGATTTTCGGCGCTTCGGCCCTTCTGAGGACTGCTCTTGGAGGCCTTTTGGGCCGTTTTGGAGGCCTCTAGGCTCGTCATGGGGGCATCTTGGGCGTCTGGGAGCGCTCGTTTGGCGCCTCGGAGCCCTCGTGAGCCGTCTTGGAGGAGTCTTGGGGCCTTCTTGGCCCGTCTTGATCCCCTTTTGGGCCCAAAAGAGCCCCGTGACGCGCTCGTCGTGGGCCCGGGGGGGGGGGGTCAAATCTCCGGTTTGGGGTCCCAGGGGGGGGGTTAGGGGGGGAACTATCTCACACGCCTAGAGACCCACAAGGGGTCGGCGGATTCGGTGTAACACATGCGGTGGAAGCAAGTGCGTGAGCTGATGGAGTGTAAGCTATGTGGTGCAAGCTACAACATGTAAGCCAGGCGGTGTGAACTGGAGGTGAAAGCTACGTAGTGCAGGCGACAACGCGGCGGTGCAAGCTACGCGGTGCAGGCGACAACGTGGCGGCAACGGGCGACAAAGTGGTGAATATTCGGGGCACCCCATCTTGTGCGGCCCTGGAGCCACCTAAGGTCATCTTGACGTTATGACCGGCTCGGGGGCCGTCTAGACCCCCGCGAGAAGAAAAGGGGAAGGGGTAAGTCTCCCCGGGGCAAGGAGAGCGTTGGGAAGAGCTCATACCCTTAAACCGCCTACGTCCAGAGGGCTGGTATGACCGCTCGGCCCGCGAAAGGCGATACCTCCTCGTCGTCGTCGTCCTCATCCTCCTCCTTCCTTACCATTCCATGATTCCAACAAAGTGAAGAACGCTACAGCCGCCGACCCAGCCTCGGTGGACTCGTCCTCGAGCGCAGCCCATGCCTTCCTTCGGCACTGATCGTCGTCGGCCAGCCCTGGGGGCAGTGAGAGGGGGCGGGCTTCCCAAAAGGCTCGGAAGTCTCCAGCCTTCCGAGAAGTTCTCCCGCCGCCTTCTGAGAGGGCTTTCTCCTTCTCACTTCCTCCCCCACCTTCTCCTCCCTGATCCTTCCTCCTCCCCAATCCCGCCTTCAATTACTCCTCTTCTACTTCCTCCTCATCCACCTTCTCCTCCTTCCCTCCTGCTTCCTCAACCTGCCAAGAGCCCACGGAGCTGGCGACAGGTACGCCGTTCGCAACCACCCAAAGAGCTGCGAAGTCCCGCCAGGGTGCGCGTATTCTCCCCGACTCCGCCATGCCTCCCAGGCGGGCACGAAAGTGGCATAGTTGCGCAATTCCCCCCCTCGCTCGCCTCCACCTCCTCCTCCTCCTCCTCCTCCTCCTCCACCTCCTTCACTCCTCCTCCTCCTCGCTCCTCGCTCCTCGCTCCTCCTCCTCCTCCTCCTCCTCCCTCCTCGCCGCCTCCTCCCTCCTCCTCCCCTCCTCCTCTCCTCCTCCTCCTCCTCCTCCGCCTCTCCTCCTCCTCCTCATCCTCTCCTCCTCCTCCCTTCCCCTCCTCCCTCCCTCTCCTCCTTTCCCTCCTCCTCCTCCTCCTCCTCCTCCTCCTCCTCCCCCTCCTCCGCCTCCTCTCCTCCTCTCTCCTCCTCCCT